GAGATGCAGATTTCATTTTCCAACAGGACTTGGCACCTGCACACAGTGCCAAAGCTACCAGAACCTGGTTAAAGGACCATGGTATCCCTGTTCTTAATTGGCCAGCAAACTCTCCTGACCTTAACCCCATAGAAAATCTAAGGGGTATTGTGAAGAAGAAGATGCAATACACCAGACCCAACAATTCAGAAGAGCTAAAAGCCACTATTAGAGCAACCTGGGCTATCATAACAACTGAGCAGTGCCACAGACTGATCGACTCCATGCCACGCCGCATTGCTGCAGTAATACAGGCCAAAGGAGCCCCAACTAAATACTGAGTGCTGTACATGCTYGTACTTTTCATGTTCATACTTTTCAGTTGGCCATCATTTCTATAAATCCTTTGTTTTTATTGGTCTTCAGTAATATTCTAATTTTCTGATATGCTGAATTTGAGATTTTCATTTGTTGTCATTTGTAATCATCAAAATTAAACGAAATAAACATTTGAAATATATGAGTTTGTATGTAATGTATGAATATAATTTACAAGTTTCACTTTTTAAATGGAATTACTGAAATAAATCTACTTTTTCATGATATTCTAATTTTATGACCAGCACCTGTATAAAGAAAAGCTAAACAAACCTAATCACAAACACCTGGTGAGGGAAGAAACAGAAACCAACAAGTGAGAGTGGGGATGGCAATTGGACCGGTACAAAACGCAGGGGCTGAACGAAAATGACTCAGGGAACACAGAAGTAAAACAGAAACCAGCACAAGACAGCAAACAATAAGAATTCAAACCAAAATCTAGATCAACCAACTAAATAAAAGAAACAACACAAGGAGTAATATGGTAAACACTGAAAACATTTCAAAATACACCAACAACAAAGTAATAAAATTAAAGAGCAAGACACTCACTTAGCTGCCTTCTGACACAGTCTGAGGTTCACCACAGTTTTAACGCTTGGGATTCTGCACATTTAGTTAGTTTGAATTGTAAAGGCAATCTTGAATGAGTAGCAAAATATCAACAACTTATATGCAAAAATAGTTTAACTTTGACTTGCTTATATATAATTACAGCTCTGACAAAGTTTTGTCTAAATTTCAACAGATGTTGCTCATTCTTTACTTCTTGAAGGCAACTTTTTAAAGTAGCTGTCTTTTCTTGAAATTGAAATATGATTCAGTTGAGATGGTAAACCATAGATACAAAGCTACATTTATTATTGATTAGCATAAAAAATCACTGTGAATTCATAAATCTGTACTTTGTTTCTGCAGAGAAATATGCTCTGTAAACTATAACACCAGTTTGCATGAATTCATCTTTTTGTAGGAGGCCCCATTATGCATTATGCAGTAAGCGATCGAGTGAGTGAAACCACTCAGATATTTAAAAGTGCAGCTGTTAAAAGCAAAGTGCTGCAGCGGGTCAGAGATGTTTTAACTCAGGCACTCATAAAATACTCACAAAATATTTAATTTAAACCTAACTTTGCCCATAAGTTGGGAAAATATTGAGTCAGATCCTGGAACGTGGGCTGCAGGGGAGCTACACGAGCTGAACGTTTGGTTACAGCAGCTTTGAAAATTCACTTCAACTCTGACAGTCATCCAGTTGACTAAACACTCCATAAAAACAAGAGTGCTGGCTTCACACTTACAGGACATTCAGAATTTCAACACATTTAACAGATGTTTAATGCAGCTTATTTTTAAAGATATTTTATTATTTTGGTGACAGAATAGAGAGCAGTAATGACAGTTTGTTGTGACTTTCTCAACATTAAAAATTCTTACAGTTTAAACATTATGACAAATATAAGTATTTTTTGTCATATTTAATTTAATAAAGTACTAAAAATACATCTAATTAGACTAGTTTTTGTTACCATAAAAAGCCAATGTTGTCCATATATTTAAGTCAGTGTTGATGGTTTTGCTACTGTTTCACATGACCAGAGTGAACTTAACTTGACACATGGAGAAAGGTTGTTTTAACACTAAATTTAGGGTTTCTTCATTTTTTTTGTAAAATTCTAAAAATTGGAAAATGCCTACAAAAATTATATATATAACATTATATAAAAAAACTTTCTCACACACATTTGAACTTGAATGCTGATGTCAATTTTTAAATTACTAAAACATGAAATATTAATGTTACTGGTAAGCATGTTTAAGATGTTACTAACATTAAATGTTCATTTCAACACAAATAGGTTTTCTGCTTATCTGGTCGGGTTATTGAGGGAACAGGACCAGGATGGAAATCCTGACATCCCTTTCTACTTTTTTTTACCAGCAACAGCCTCCAGCATCTCGAGATCTTTCCATGTCAGAAGTGATGCATTATTTGTTCAGGGATTTTTGAGTCAGCCACAGTCTCTCTTCACTGTAGGACATGCTGGGAAACATCCATAGAGGCATGTCTAAAAGACATCCTAATCAAATACCTGGACCACCTCAGCATACTCTTAATGGTAAATATATTTTTTTATATGCAGTAACATCTTTTTATCTCTCCAGGTTCTGCAAAAAGCTGGACAGAGTCTGTCATTTATCCATTCATACAAACACTAATACAATGTTTTTCCTTTATGCTGTATATGACGCAGAAGAGAAGTGGCTCTACTCCAAGCTTTTCCTGGATGACAGAGCTCCACAACTCTAAGTTTGAACTCGGCCACGCTACAGAGAACGTTTATCCATCCATCCATCCATTTTCTGTACACGCTTCTTCCTTTTCAGGGTTGCGTGGGTCACTGGTGCCCATTTCCAGCAGTCACAGTGCGAGAGGGCGGGGTACACCCTGGACAGGTCGCAAGTCTATCACAGGGCCACACATAGAGACAAACAACCATTAGTTAATTAACCACAAATTAAACCATCTCACTCACACCTAGGGACAATTTAGAGTTACCAATTAACCTAACAGACATGTTTTTGGTCTGTGGGAGGAAGCCGGAGTGCCCGGAGAGAACCCACTCATGCACGGAGAGAACATGCAAACTCTACCCAGAAAGGTCCCCGGACCGGGATTTGAACCGGTGACCTTCTTGCTGAGAGGCATCAGCTCTACCAACTGAGCCATCGCGCCCCCCTTGTCGAAAGTTTATGTCTGATGATTTTATTCAGGATTATGTTCATGATGCACATCTCACGATCACAGTTTAGGTCTATATTATACTGTAGACAAGAAGTATGTTGAGAGCTTCACCTTTTGGATCAGCTTGTTCTTTGCCACAACATTTGACTTTCTCTGCGACCTCCCATTTTAGTGAAGAAGACACCAGGATACAACTCCTTTGTATGAGGCAGAGACTCATCCCCAACACTAGACATTCTTCCAGTGTTTTCAGACTGAGACTCCACTGGCATTTCATGTTTGTTCATAACTCAATTAATTACATTATTATGCTTTTTGTAGTCTTGTATGAAATTGCCCTGACACATCGAAACCCTGTCCACACCGCTAGGGGATGTCTTTCTTAAGTCAGCTTTGTTATGTAAATGTTAAACAATATTCTTACACTGCTTGAGCCAGACACATATGTAGGCTTGTCGATTCTCTTACAGTTTAAATGACTAAGGAGGGTGGTGAAAGCTGCCCAGCGCATCATTGGAGCACCACTTCCTGCCATAGAGGACTTCAACAAAAAGCAGTGTCTGAAAAAGGTTGGGAAAATCATCAAAGACTCCAGTCACCCAGCTCACAGACTGTTCACCCTCCTGCCCTCTAGGAGGCGCTACAGGAGCCTCTGGACTAAGACCACCAGGTACCGGAAAAGCTTCTTTCCAACAGCTGTTACTCTCCTGAACTCTGTCTCCTGACATCAGCACAATACCCACAACCCATGGACCTAACAACACTACCTGCACTGTTTTGCCCAACACTGCATAAATAATCTACTCTTGTTAATCATTACATAATCAATTTATATGCCACCATTTTAGAACATGATCATTAGATGTAAATTCACATTTCTGTAAATTAAAGTCAGTAAATTCATATCCTGTACATTCATAACCTGTATACAATTATATTTACAGCTATAGCATATTAAAAGCAATACTGTAATTTGTAATATAATATACTGTATACATTTATATTCCATGCTAAGCACTTCTGGATGGATGCAAACTGCATTTCATTGCCTTGTACTTGGGACATGTGCAATGACAAAGTTGAATTCTATTCTATTCTATTCTAAAACGGATCACAAACGATAAGATATACGACTGTATCTAAAACTCAGTTCATCAAACAAAATATCTTTCAGTCTGATATACCATCAATGGCATTGGAACATCAGACTGAAAGGAGCCACATCCTTCCACACATCCACTGTGCTGTACCTTCAGGCCATGGACAGACTTCTCATTTCATTTACAAGGCTGCAAAATGTTTCAAAATGATTCACTTCCTTTTATTCCGGTGATCTGGTTCTCCTTGCCAGCCCTCCTCTGCTACTTTAATGCTGTTGTGTCCATTAATGCATGTATGCGTTAATAAGGGTTTTTTTAAGCTGAAAATCTGTTGGACTCCTCTGCCTTACCTCTGTTCTACAGTCACTTGTCAGTTGACTGTGACTGCTGCTCTCGCTTCGTCTCTGCCTCGATATTTTCTATGGCTCTCCCCCGGTGCCCATATTTTAAGTCACACCAGGATCTGCTAAACGTGTAACATGTATAAATGGAAATATGATGCGACTCAGTACCTGCCAGATCTATATGACAGCCAGCACATGAGGGAGCTGGCTCATTATCACATTTATATCCTGGCATTCTGCTGAGATCAGGACAGAGAAGTCAATGTGGGTGAGTGCTGTCATTACATGGGTGTCCTTAATAGTCTGTGGACTTTAAATATCATGTTGCAAGAGGAAGATGCAGAGAAGAAGCAAGCATCCAAGCAGAGGTTCCTCTAGAGTAAGCCCACTTCAACCATAATATAAAAAAACACTCAAAAACTGGTTGTTTCATGGACTAAACACTCATACCTGACAAAGAAGGAGCGTTGAGGGGTGGGACCAGCATCGTGCTCAAATCCTGGTTGAAAGGAGAGGTCGGCCGACAGGGTGATCCCAGAACCCTGGAGGAGCAGGGTGACGTGGTCTGGGAGAAGCTCGGGTGTCTCAGAGGTGAAGGTGATGGAGAGAGGCTGGCCATAGCTGTTGACTTGATGACCCAGGAATCTCTCTGATGGGGAGGTACAGAGTGGACGGTTAGTGAGTTGAGTGAAGGAAGAGTCATCTTTCTATTTTTTTTTTTTTGTTTATACACAAAGTTGTGTCCAAGTTTGTCATAACAAGGACTAAAATAAACCTTTGATCACATTGAAAGACACTTCTTCATTTCTCCAAATCAGGCTCAAAGAACAAACAAAAGTTGTTTTAATAAATTTATATATATAAAAAAGCTGTAACTCATTCTTATCCCCACCCCAATGTAAAGAAAAAAAACATAAATACCATAAGACATGGAAACTCATGAATTGCTTTAATTACTCAAAGACAAAAGTCACCTAAACATGATCTGATTTTTAAAGCATAAAATCAACAGTTGTTTAACATTTTGTATAAGGTTACTTTGTCTTTTTTTGATGTCTTACAAACTCAAAATATAAAAGGTAAATGGGCCTGGGGCTCGTTCTGTTATCTTAGTGAGTAATATGTCAACTGTCACACTTTTCAAATCCCCGCTGACAAGTATGACAACATGTAAATGGTTTTCTTAGACAGCTAACAGTTTTTCCAGTTCTTTTTTCCAAAAAAACAAAAAAAACAAAAACATTTATTATTCTCTCTTTACAAACACCAGGGTATTTTACATTGCCTCTTTTTACTGCCTGAGCCACAGATATTTGTTGATGTGATGAAGCACCAGCCATTTCACCGCTTGTGGCCATCGTTTGTGGATTTAAGATGCATTTGTCTGCATTTTAGACAGACAAAGCAAGGTGTGCTTCCAGAAATTTGGTTATTTAATTAATTTGTACAGTCTTCAGGCTGTAAAATGTTTTCAAACAGCAGCAACACAAGTCCAAAGCAAGAATAACACATCCCTGTTCTTTAAATATGTGGAGAGTACTCAAGATATTATCAGTCTACCAATACCGCACATTCAGATGTACCTAGTAGTCATGGTGTGATGTTGTGGGAAGTTAAAAAAGCTTTTTAATCCAACAGCAAATCCATAAATATGTTGTTTGGCCAAGAAATATGTTCAGTAGAATGCTCCAAAGCTTTCTAAAGGTGTTTTGCATTTAAACAGGGTCTCGTTACCTTACAGAAACTTATTCTTCGGCTTCCTCAACTTCATTTTTATGACATATTTGCTATTTTTCATCCATTTATCCAACCTGACACAGTTATCCATAAAGCAAACGTGTGTTAGCCAGATCTGGCCCTGCAGCCTGACTGCTAGGATGGCAAGTGTCAACAGGATGAGGGCCAGGTGATGGCTCAGTTTATTAGATGCCAGTGTCAAAACCGGTCTGGTTGTGGTTTGGTTTATGTGGTGCTGGCTCATGCATGGACCACCTCTGGTCAACCCCAACTGGGCCATCAAAGGGCCATGATTCTTTGTGTTATCTGGGCCAAGTGTTAGTGCATTGTGTGGGCCAGAACTGGACCAGACAAATTTTGCTGTGGGTATTTTCATTTTTTATTCATCCGTCCATCTTCTTTCTTTACCTGGATGGATGGTTGACTGGACTGATGCATTGACGGATGGATAGACAGACAGACATCTTTTTCTGTTGAAATATTTTCTCAGAGTGCCTTTCACAGGGTCATATTGTCTCTCTGCCTGAGATTATTTTATTTGTCTTTTTAAGTAAAACCTAAAAAGATTCTAACTTGACCACCTTTAAATGAAAGCACCTGTTGTGAGATTTAGGTAAAACTAATTATTTCAGCCCAATTAGTTTTATTTAACACCAATCCGTCGATCTTTTGCAGTATCATTGCTTACAAAAGCAGTAAAAATCAATGCCTGACTTTTATATCTGTTTTCAGATTTATTAGAACAAACTACTTATTATAATACACATTCTACTTACACTACTTAGAATTTATAAGTACCAGGTGCTCAGCAGCACTCTAAAACTATTAACTGTGAACAAACCTGCAAACTGTCACCTTTAATTTATGCCTTTCAGAAATTACTTCATTGTACATTCATTTATTCACTAATCGCTGCAACTTTTGCACAGTGTGCCCTGATATAAAATGCTAAAATCTTTATAGGAAAAAAAGGAGAAAACAAAAAAGACTCACAATGTTGCTATTCTCTACCAAATGTGGTTAAGTGAGAGGGAAAAATGACAGGTTGCACGCTTGGTTGCCATCTTGTTTTTGTGCGTAATCGTGTGTGAAGTACATCCTGAGCTCCTCTGGGGCTTAAGAGGGCTCTGGAATTGAGTGGGTGATATTGCTTGCGAGGGGTCTCTGGCATCATTCAGAGCAATTCAGCTGTCTGATCATCCAATATCTACTCAACCAGGAGCTGGCTTTTATTATTTGAGCAGTGCCCTCACACAGCCCACTCTCGTCAGCAGCTACATTGATGAATGTTTTTATTTCACCAGCATTTAAATTGACTTTGTGATCCCCCAAAATATAGTAGTTTGATACGATGGATCATGTATTACTGCCTGATTTGTGTAAACAGCTAGTTAAATTTATACATTATAAGTGTAAGATGTAGTGATTTTGCATTTCACACATATTCTATCCTCATTTTGACTCAAAAATGAGAAAGTTAAAATAAGCAGTACTTTTATATTAAAACTTGTCTGCTGCAATGAAAGGCAGAGTATATATATA